CCTTTGAAAAGTACTGCTTTGAATGGAATATCTCCTGAAAATCTCCGAGACTAATTAAAGAAACTAATTTAAAAGAAAAAAAAACGTTAATCATTTCTGTCATATAGAATTCTGTTGCTCTTTTCAAGGTTGCACGGGAACTTGTACCATTTTGTGCAGCGCGCGTTTACGATTACATTTTTGCCCGAACGTCTCTCGGAGAACGAAAATTCTCGCGGACTCCGATCTCGATTGTATTTCGACGAGTGAGAGCGTGCGCGCCGCGCTCGCGAGCGTTTCTGTGAACTACTGTACGTGCAAAGTAGAAGGTTACCGCATGACATCAGCCGATGCCATTAACTACACTCTATTACTTCGTTCTCCGTGATGATAGCACAATCGCATTTTCTTCTATTACCGATATGCGTACGAGAATGATGTGCCGCGGTTCAACAATGAACTGATAAAATCGGCGTCGAACGAAGATAATGGCGCGCGGTCGCGATGTGAATGTCATTTGCACGCAAGCGGGACACCCCGAACTAATTAAAATCTTGGGTAACGCGTGATTAGCGGATGAGTTATTGAGTGAAATAAGAGCAGATTCGCGATAAAGCGCGCGCGTTCTGTGCGCGTTCGTTTACGTCCGACGACATCTTTTCCTCTGCTAATAAAACCGCATAACGATGTCAGCTTGCGCAACTAGTTTCACACGTTTTCAATTGTCTGAGGCATTGGACCCCAAACTAGGGCGTGAGGAAATTCTTGAGCGAGGGAGGCGTAATAATGGCTACTTCTTGGCGGCAGAAAAGAGGCTCGTTAACATACTGAAAAAAATTAATTATAACTACTTCACGTTATCGTTCCGAATATTAATATTACGAGGAATATTTTCTATCTATAAATGAGGTTGATTGTCCTCTCAATATACGTACGTCGCGCGGAAAAATATTACAGAGATGCATTTGTCGATCTAAAGTCACGCACGTTCGCTTGGCGAGCAAGCTCGGGCACGCTGATATTTTGCAAGACGCGCAAATATGTGCATAAATAAATGTCCAAGATACTCATCAATCTTTACGCCTCCTTCCATCTTCTGGAAAAGCATGACAATGAGGTCGAATTCTTGGCGCAGAGCGATGGCGCCCGATTACTTCAAGTCAAACAGTTTCGTCGAAGGTACAAAAGAAAATTTGTACCTTCGATGTTTGACTTGAAGTAATTGCAAAAAATATTTGCAAACAAAATTATTCTGGGATCGTCCAAAGACATAGAGTATGGGATTGGGCTGTCCGTACAAATGTGGTCAACTAAAATGAGAGAGAGGGAGAACCCCCACTTTTTTTAAGATATTTGGTGCGTTCGGTGAAACGCTATTAGCGCTATTTCTGTCATTCTATCTTCGGTGTTTATTAAACGTAAAACAAGGATAGAACGACACAAATAGCGCTAATAGCGTCTCCCCGAACGCACCTATCGTGACTGGTTGAATCGAAAGAAATAGAGACTAACGATATTTGTATTTTACCTCTCCCATTTTTGTTCATCAACTTTCCACACTGATGGTGCAGTCCATGCTCTGTCGTCTTTGGGATCATTTGATTCGGCTGTTGATTACGAATTGACACTGATTTTTTTAATTCTCGAAGTGCTCGCGGAACTCCGTCGTCTATTTCCCGGCGAGGTGAGTAAATAAGCATCTATCGATGCTAATGACAAGTGCACACGCCTGTGCAACCTCGTTCCTATTTTAGAATCCACTCGTATCTTTCCGCGAAGAGGCGTTACCGCCTTTCATTAAGCACCGCGACAAAAAGCGCCACGCTCTAGGACGCTCGAGAATCCTTTCGCTCGCCGTGCCTGATTATCGATCCAATCTTACCGCACGTGCGTATTTTTCTTATCCAACCGTGTGCGTATATGTAATAAAAACAATCATAAACGTTATGCTAAGTATAATTCATAGTCATATTTCCGGAGCGAGATTTCGCAATCGTGCAGAAAAACAAAGCTTATCCATTAACGATGTACAGTCGATACAATAAACCAGAGGAACGTTATCATTTCGATTTATTAATTTTCCCTTAGGAATAATTTAATCGGCGACGTGGATAACAATCTATCTTATAATTCGCTTAAAATTAGATATAAACATTTCCGCTTTTCTCCTATTTTTGTAAAATTAATTTTCAAATCATAATGTTGAATGAATTTCTTGATTAAGTTTCTACCTATTTCCGTTGGGAGTGCATGAATATTGATTATTTTGTCGAGCGTCATATCGAATCAGATGTGAAACGTATGTCTAGTTAAAGTGTGTAACGTGCGCGCGAGGCTCGCGAGCCTGAGATTGCAACCTTGAAACTGGGCACCACCTCCACCTTCGTCACTTCCATCAACAGGGCACCACCACTATCACCCGTGTACGACGAGCAAACGGTCGACAGCCGGTAGCACAGCAGCGGCGGAAGGAACAGCGACGGGTACAGCAATGCAGCAGCAACGACTAGTAGAACAAGAGGAGAAAGGGCAGACGCCGGATGGGTAGGACAGAGGGGGAGGGTGGGAGAAAGGGAGGGCCGCAGTGTTGGCGGAACGAAAGAAAGAAGGATTCCTCCCCACGCGCCAGGCCCTTTCCTTTTTCCTTTCCCGCGACTCTCCCTCTCTTCTTTCCCACCCTCCCTTTCCGTGTCCGGCTTTCAGCTGTGAGCTCGCACGTTGTGCACACAGGGAGCAAACCGGATTCGCAATAAAACGAATATCCTATCTCGAAATGCGCGGGGCCAGCGAGAGGATCTAACATACAACGTTCAAACTGGATCTCGGTCTTTCCACTTCTCTTTCTCCTTTCGCACAATCTCTTTCGTGAGAGATTCGCCCTTCCTCTCGCTCATTGACCCGAGTGAAAGGGACGTCGGAAGAAGGGATAACTAAACCGGCGTCGAGTTGTGAGAAAGGTGCAAGTACGATCCATTGCCAACCATTTCGCCGGATGAGAACATTTAGAAAAGAACGAAGAAGCGTAGAGAGATGAGAACGGAGAAGGCAAATTAACAAGTTGGGGTGAAAGAGAGAAAGAGTAAAATTATCATACAGAGAGAGAAGTCACGATGCTCTTGCAATTAAATATTGTCACACAATTAACGTTTTGCTCTTCCGATATTATTTAAGTAGTAATTTAAGGAAATAAGAGAAAATTAATCTATTTGCAAAATAATACTGTATCTCTATTTGTTTACAACTTGGCAAATTTATCTTTTTCTAAAACCTGTTTAAATTTACATAAGTTTGACAGATTTACATATATAAATTTAGATAATGTTATATCTATGCAAATTTATCTATTCTTATAAATAAAATCCATAAATAAGAACATTATATGTAAGTACTTTCCGAAAAAGATAGTACACGTGTGCTATCACCTTTTGTCTTGAGTGTATTTATAGCCGCATGAATCGTTGGATTACATGTAAGAGATAAGTAAATTGAAGATAATACCGAGAAAATTCTATTCAAACACTGCAATTTCAAAAATTGCGACTATCCACTACGATATTAGTCGAGTATCTTCAGAACCTATATTAATAAAATTTAGATTATTTCTCTCAATTTATTTATAACAAATTAATTAATACTGAACTAATATTTTTAGTATTAAGCAATTTAATAACACTAACAATAAAGTATTAATTCATGCTTTCTCAAATTTACATTTTAATATTGACAATTTTAATAATTATTAGACATTTAATAGAGAAAATATTTTTTACTATGTTCAATATCAGAAAGCAAATAATATGAATCAGATTATAATATAGAAAATAAATAGAAAATTAAGAAAGTCATAAGCGCGAGACCGTGCTATTTGAAAAGGCTGAAGCTCTCGGAGCGTAAACATGCCACGAAGGCGAGAACGGGGGAAAGAGCAGAGTGTTTAATTGCATGTGTGTCGAGGGACGGAGGAAGAGGACCTTGTGATTCTTCTCTCTCTCCCCCTCCCCCCTCTCTCCCCCTCTTTTCTTTCTCTCTCTCTCTCTCTCTCTTTCCTCTCTTCCGCGCATAATGATAAACAGCAACCGCGTGCTCCCTGCAGCGATTATGCAACGCGCTTGGCCTTCTCGTGTACTGATTGTAAATTAGACCGCATCATAAATAAATAAATAGTGCTGGGACGCGAGCGGCATCGCCAATGGGTATATCGATGGACCAGGCTCGTGGCAATCAGGCGTGAATTAATTATGTACCGCGCAATTAATGTATCAGACTACGATAACGCGCAGCGCAAATATTTGCGCGAAATGCATCGTCGTGAGAATTGCAACGCTTCTTCCGGAAATAATGCGCTCGCTTTTGCACGCCCGATAACGATTCGACCATATAGGCAAGTTATACATTGATAAAATCATTTCGCATGTCAATGATACTTATTTTTTTAATTTTCATGGTCACCAGATTTTATACGTAAAACAGATAAATGCTTATAAAAAAGGAACCAACTGATAGTCAATACCGGGCATGCTAATCTCGAGGAATCTATACGAGAGATATTACTCGTTCGCAAGTTTATATTTGCCCAAAAGGTCACGGATTTCTCATCGATTAACGATTAAATGATCAGTTGAGCAGTTGACATTTTTCATGTTATGCAAAAAGGGTAAATCTCGGTTGTCGAACATTTGTTATTCAGTTTAACCTATATAATTAATCAATAACCATAATTATTATATAATTAATTATATTATTAATCAATAACCATAACTATTATAATGTACTCCAAAGAGTAAAAAACATATTATACGTTACTGCTTATTTTATTAACTAATTGTTGTTTAGCACAGAGTTCTGAGTCATTGATCTAACAATTGTTTAAAATGTTTACGAATTGAATATGTTCACAAAAATATGAATTTTTATATTTATAACGCAATTTTAGTTACTTAGTGTTTACAAAAAATAATCCGGATACATCACATGTATGTACTAAACAAATTCGCAAACATAAATTCCAAAATTAATTGACCAAAAGCAATTGTTACGCAATGTAACGTCGTTAAGTAAGGCATCAAGTGCACGATATATGCGAACTTCTGAGCGTTAAGAGAATCATGATAAGTTGTGATTCTTCGTTTCGTCAGCTGTTTTTGCATCGGTGAGCGCGGAAGGCCGCAGCAACTAGAAGAAGGAAGCTGAAAAATGGTAAAGATGCCGTCACACCAAATCCGCCGCATTGGCAGCCGCATCAGCTGTTCCACGACCTCCTTTCGTCCGCGACGGCCCTCGGATGAGATTCGTCTAATGCGCTAAGTATAGCCGTCGTTGCTGCAATCCCGCGTACGCATCGTCATGCGTACCAGATCTGATCGGGATGACAATCCGCCTTGGAGCTGACGAGCGGCGGGGATAGTGACATGAGAACGAAAAATGGAGCTGGCCGCACATTACAAGCGAATTAACAGCGAGGACATGAAAGTTCACATGTCGCCTCGCAAGCAAACTAGTCTACTACATAATAAATAATGATGGCAATTGAACATTTATAATTCTTGTTAACGAAGGCGATTAAGAATGGCGTTTAACGAACGATACAACGTGAAAATATGCATGCGTGAGAACATTTGGTCTTTAGTCGACTTGCATAACACGCTTTTGACACGACCCCATCGCGACTCTCGTTACAAAATGTTGGAAACAATCGCGCGCCTTCAATGACGACTTGATTATATAAAACGGTGACAAAGCAGTACGTTTATTAATCCACGTGTTTCCGACGTACTTTCCTGACGGTCGAGTTTTTTTTTTTTCGCGTAGTCGTTTTTACTAAGCTTTACCTAATAATTAATCCATACTATATTTCACTCTGGTACAAGAAATGCGATGTAAGATTCGTAAGCAGAAATTAAAATCATTATCGTCGATTTAATTTCTCAATGTTCTAATGAATAAACGGAGCATTTTCTGCAGCATCGAAATCTTTGAATTGAACAAAATTATATTGATTTCAGTTGCGGCTCTGGTTTTCCGATTACTAGCTACGTGTTCACCGAGCGAACGAAACACCGTGGTCCAGTCGCGAACGGAGTGGTGGACATTAATCGGACGGTGTTTACCGTCAAATCATTCAAGCATTTCGCGATCGATCGCTCGTAAAACGCCCGAGTCGCTGCAACAAGCGACCAGCATGTCGATATAATTCCACCTGATGAGAAAGAGACCTTTACGTACCGCCTCCATGTTTTTGAAAGAGAGAGAGCAAGAGAGAGAGAGAGAGGGGGGGGGGAGAAAGAAGAAGAGTAAGGAAGAATGAATGGAAGAGTTGTTTGGAGTTATAGGAGAAAGGCACAAGAAAGGAAAAGCTTGACTGAAATAATGAACTGCTCGTTGTTTCGCGAGCGCATAAAGATAACGCGGCGTGTAAATTTATATTTCAATTCCGTAGAAGACATTTTCGTTCTTAAAATCTTTTTTTTCCTTTCGTACCCAAATTGCCATGTATTTCAATAATCTAAAATGCCAAAGAATATTTAGTAGAAAAATGTAAATGAAGAAAAGTAAATCGAGATCAATCAATTAATATTAAGAACGGCGTTTAAAATGTCAAAGTAATAATGATGTAGGAGGAGCAACACTTTACCAAAGTGGAAGGAAAAAGAAGAAAAAAAGATGGAAAAGATGGAAGGATAGAGGGCGGAGTAAGAATGGACACTTCACCAATGATGAACTAGAGAAAAGACAAAATGTCTGGAAGCGAAGCAAAACGGAAGAAACGAGAGAGGGCGGAGTAGAAATCGCAAGTGCAGAAGTGAAGAGGGGAGAAATATGTGAAAGAGAAGACGAATGGATACAACGGAAGGAAGGAGATTGTCAGCAGGTTGCGAAGGGCACAGAATGACTAAAGGAACTAGGAAGAAGCTAATAGTAGATCACTGCTGCACTCGCTCCATTCTTACGTATTTTACGCGCGCGCAGGCGTGAATGCTCCTTCTTATATTACACCATTGCAACGACAAGGAGTGCTTCTATTCTGCTGCATCCGAATGACAAGGATAGGAAAGCAGTACATGGAGTTTGAACTGGTGTGCGTCTTCTCGTACACGCTAGAGCAGTATTGAGAGAAAGATACAGAGAGGGGAGTAGAAGAGGGAGCGAGAAAGCGAGATTGTAAAAGGGAGACAGGGCGAGTCAGGACAGAAGAATAGGGGTGAGAAAGAAAGAGAGAGACAGGAAGACGGCACGGGAGAATCGTGCTCCAATAAAACGAACGGAGACCGGAGAGTGTGCTCTTATCGCCTTGTGCATGTGCACTGGTGGAACATGTAAACCACAGCGTGTATAAACGAAGACGTGCAACGTACACGTGAAACTATACACATGCGTAATCGCTCGTATGTTACACAAAGAAGGAGAGAGAGAGAGAGAGAGAGAGAGAGAGAGAGAAAGAGCTATATCTCACCAATAAGACCTAGGCAAGAGAGCTATTTGTAATGCAATAGTGAGAGCTAGTGGGGAAAGGAAGAGTGGAGGAAGAGAGCTAGTGGTAGGTGGTGGACTCCTGGTGGGGGAGAAAGAGCAAGTAAGAGAGAACGGGAGATAGACAGATACGTGAGGAGAGAGAAAGAGAGACAGAGGTAGAGAGATGAAAAGAGAAGAGGTGGAGCAAGGGTGTGCGAACAAGAGAGAGAAAGGGAGAGAGAGGCAGAGAAAAGGTGCCACTCAACATAGAGCCAATACCACGATCGCTTTACAAATAAACTCACGGACTCGCAAAACCTCTTCCTCGATGCAGAATATAACGTCGGGAGCAAAGAGAAACGCGCTTTTCGGACCCTCAACCCTTTCTGGGGGTCTCGTAAATCTACGGGGCCCACACCTGGCCTCTTCTTTGCCACTACCACCCGCCACTATTACAGCTACTACCGCGCTATCACCATCGTCGTCACCATGACCACCACTACCGCCGCTGCTCGCCGTCGTGGTTGTACTCATTCGATACACGTTAGAGTATCGCTGATGTACCACCACTACAACGAATGAGTTAACCACCACTACCGTCGCCACCTCCTGCCAACCAACTCTGCCTCTCTTCGCGCTTACCTAGGACAGAGAAAGAGAGAGCGCGCGCGAGAGAGGGAGAGTGAGAGCGGGAGAGTGAGAGAGAGTGAGAGAGGTAGAGAGTGAGAGAGGGTCCCGGCTTTGCGCAAAAGTTACGACGGAGCGAAGAGCAGTGAGACACATCGCGGAGACCGGAAGAGAACCCTCTCTCCCTGAAGAAGTCCTCCGATGTAGAGAGAGAGAGAGAGAGAGAGAGAGGGGATAAAAGAGGAGGGAGAGAAAGAGAGAGGATAAAACAAGAAGAAAGAGAGGGAGAGAAAGATAGGTAGACAAAGAGAGAGAGGGAGAGAGAGAAAGAGAGAGACAACGAACACGCGCGAAAAACATACGTCGACTCCAATCGAGAGTGTCACCGCTTGTGCGCGCGGGAGTGCGATACGGACCATCACGAGGAAAACTGACAACGTCGTTAAGTGTCCTCTTCGTTGTTCGCCGCGTGTTCACATTGCGAGGACACGTGGTAACCATACCGGTCCTCCTACTTCCGGATATCCTATCGGGAGTGCACCGATTCGCGATTGGATCTCCTATAATTACCTGAAGCCTCTCAAGTGATCTCGTCGCAAAGCGCAAATCTTCACGATTGCGCATTGATGTATTATCAATACTTCAATTGTTGTAGTGATTAATTCGGAAAACAATAGATGTACCTCCTGCTGTGACAAGTGCTTCGTCTTCGCGTGTAATCATCATTTTCCATAGATACAAGAAATAAAAGAGATTTAAAGAATAAATAAGTAACTTCATTCTACTGAGAACTTTGTTCTTTAGAAGTTCATTGATCTTGATTATGACCGGTTGTTGGCGGAAAACAAATACAAGGAAGTAAAGGAGTGAAAAAGGAATAACAAGAAGAAGAGAAAGAAGACCAAGAAGAAGAAAAAGAAGTGGAAGAAATTAAGAGAAGAAGCCTCGAAACTGAGAGCAGGACTCGCTGCACGCTCGCCACTTACGTACCAGCAAGAGCGGGCCGCGTTGTGTAAGAGCTGAAAGTAAAAGTTGAAACCGTCGACTTCAACTCACGGGAGCGCGTATTGCGCGCGCTAAAATTCGATCTTGCCTCCTGTAGGCTGGGTACCACCGAATATCTCTTGCCTCTCTCTTTCTCTGCCCGTCTTTCTCCGGTGACTTTCCCATTTTGTTCTACCTCCCGAAGAGAGAAAGAGGGAGAGAGAGAGAGAGAGAGAGAGATACGAAAACAGTGAGAGTGTGTATTCGTGCGTGCGTCCAGATTCGCATGATCGCGGATTCCCCTGCGGCGCCCTTGACGAGAAGCTTCGCCGATGCGGAGGATCTACGTGTTCCGAAGAAGTCGAAGAGGGCGTGCTAGGGAAAGAATAAGGAGAGAGAAGAGAAGAGGAACGGTGCTCCGTTTCATTGCGTAACAACGTTTTCTAGTCCGCTACTTCGCGAAATACACTCGCGCGTGGTATTTCGTTCGCACGCTCGCGTTTGAGGAGGTGTATCGGCGCGTGCAAAGGTAATCGCGAGTCTTTTCGTCATCGGATAGTTGGACCCGGGATCGCGAAAACGCGAGTGATTGAGCCTCGGTCGCGAGCGACTCGGCGCTGACAACGAAAAAGAACGATGGAAAGTGATCGGTCCCGCGCGCGTTTCACTCCGTCCAGCGCGAAATGCGAATGTTCAAGGTCACAGTCGTTGGTATCCCACCGGTAATTCATTTCCGGAGCCGCTAGAGAGTGGTCTTCATCGTCATCGTCTACGTCGTCAACATTATCATTATCATCATCATTATCATCAAGTGGCATCCCGGTAGCACCACCACCGTGGAAGGACTCGACGTGCGGTATTCGCGTGCGAATTTAACCTGTCTCTCTCTCTCTCTCTCCCTCAGTTCACGATCGACAGCGCGCTCGCTTTTACCTCGCCGCCTCGTCCGGGCGCAAGAAGTTTCGCAAAAGGGATTACAACACGCAGAAGAGAAAGGAGACAGACAGACGGAAAGGGAGACGCGGAAGGGAAAAGGACAGCGAAGAAAGAGAGAGAGACAGTTCGAGACGGAGAGGGAGAAAAGGAGGAGAAGCAAGAGAAGGAGGAGGAGGAGGAGGAGGAGGAGAGGAGAGGAACAGACCGCGATACGACAACCGTGTGCGCGAAAACCGCAGGAGGAGGACGCGGATTTCTCGCCGCCGCGCGGAGGACAAGAGTCCTCGCGACCGTCGCGTGGTTCGACGACGAGGACAAGGAAGACGTCGACGAGCGAGCCGAGAGAAGAGAGGCTCGCTCTCTCGGAACGAGAGGAAAGAGGCGGAGGACAGACCGCGATAGCGAAGGACGAGTCTGAAAGACGATCCGGATGTGGCGAGATCTACTCGCTTTCCGTTCTCCCGCTGCTCTTCTGCCGATCGTCACGGTGCGTCGCGCCGCACGACGACGACGTTGAATTTACGAAGGAGCCGCCGGAAATTTGATAATCCGCGACGAAAGAGCATACATTTGAACACGGGGAACCGCTCCGCGGCGGCGTTCGCTGGGGACACGCGGCCGAGCGGAATTAAAAGTGCGTTTAAAAAGGTTAGCGGAATAAAAAAGGCGCGCGCGCGAAAGGATAAGAGAAAGGAATAGGAGCCACCTCCGAGTCCTTGAGAGTACCCAACGGGTAAAAGTGCCGCGCGCAGAGCCAGCCGGTTGACCCTGGGCAGTCAACGGAGCAGACCCCGTTGGAGAGAAAAAAAAAAAAAAAATAAAAGTTCTCCGTCATCATCGTCATCGTCGTCGTCGCCCTTTACCGCCGTCGTCGCGGACGTCGTCAAGGATCGTTCCGTTCCGGGCTGACGAATCTCTCTCTCCACGGCGAATTTCCGCGAGTCGAGTTTAGATGATCTAAATCGAGGAAGCGCGGATTGTACGTAGTGTGCGTGCACAATACTTGCGTTGCGTGCATGCGTGCGTGCGGTGCGAGCACAAAACCACGTGTGTGACATCGCGCAAGCGAGCGCGAACAGGAAAGCAGCGAGACGAAACGCGATGACGAGGAGGATCGTGAAAAACGGCTGATTGCGAACAATCAACGACGACATCCTCGAAGACGGCGCATCTTCCTGTTTTCGATCGATTCGCCGCCGATTTTCGTTCCTTTCCGTTGAGACACCATGTGCTGTTGCGCGAGGAACGCGTCCACGAGTGTAAAGTGATTATACAAAGTGCCGGGTATTATCTCGAGCGTGCCTCTCTCGCGCACGTGCCTCTCTTTCTTTCGTTCGACGTTACCGCTATACTGATCTGTTTCTCTCGTGTCTAGTGATTGTGATCCATACCGCGAAATATCAATGTACGTCACGTGCTCGCAGCGTCGTCCACGTCGCCGATGTCACGGGATCTCGGCTGGTCGTCGCCGGCTCGCAAAGAGAATGTTTTTCACGTGACTCGACGAGATAATCCCGTGGGATACATACTACGTCTGGTTGCTCACCCTGGATACCGATCGCACGTTAGGCAGCGAGTGCAGTAGTAGAAAAAGCACAAGGTGAGAAAAATTTATACGACCGTCCTCTCGAAATTCTTCTCTTTAAATCTGAATCAGTGAATATAGTCACTAATTACCCAGTGGCACACTTGGCACTGATAATCGGTGAAGTTCAACTAAAAAAGGAACAATGTTTGAGCATTATATAACTGAAATACTGATATTTGCATGTTAATTTCAATCTTCCAATATCATATTCATTGAATTTAAGCACAAAACAAGTAGTTAGTTAGATCACATGATAAAGATTAGCTAGATTAGAAATCTCACATTTAATTCACTGATTACCAGTAGCGTACTTGGCACTGATAACAGTGATTATCCACTGATTCAGATTTAGAGAGTTTGGAGTGGAATCTCACTCTAAAGAGTGAAAATTGAGCCAGTCTTGAAATGGAGCGACTCCATTTTCGATCTTTAAAAGTGAGATGACACTCTTCAGCATGAAATTTACTCCGAAAGTTTAGAGAGTAATTTAAAAGTCATTTCGATTCGATTATGTTACGCTCTTTCTTCCCGGGAATCTCTGTTCTCGCGGAGACCGAATTCACGACTGACGCATCTCTTTCGTCGATCGCTAATTAATTACGCGATCGCTGCCGATCGCCTTGATCGCACCCGGTAAATCAGTAGTCTGCTGCAAAAGGTGATTTAGAGATTAACACGTTCATTGCCACATGCAACGTACGACACGTTTGTTTCTCAGTGATATATTCTACGTTTATGCTGGCGGCCGAACCTGGCGTGAATAATCGACAGGTGCTATAAATGCTTGCCGATAAGCGCAGATAAAAAGCCTATAAGTTTGTTTTTCACGCCAGTTATGACTTGCTGACTATAATTGTGGCAAAGAATAAGTGTGTTAATTTTACCACGTTCAGTGAACGACTCGGAATACGTCGTCCTGGTATGTGGAATTCTACAGAGACTCATTACTCCAAAATTGTTTACGCAAACAAAACAATTCCAATCCGATGATTCTGTACACAATTACTGATGCATAATATTCCAATAGTACATCAGTATACAGAGATTAATAAAATGAGGCAAAAAGGGAGGTATATAATTAAGAAGAAATGCGTTACGATATAGAGAATTAAAATTACTTCTACTCGATCTTTCTATATCGCTCCGTATTTCGATGGAGTTGTTCTCTTGCGGTGCTAGTTCGGCGCGTTCAAGCGAGGGTTAAGGATGATCGATGATGTAATGTTGACATAAGTGTTGGAAAATGTTTGCAGTCACTTTTACGGATATGATACGATAAAGTGAAAAGATACAGGTATTGATCTGTGACGATGATCGGCGTTAATCGCGCAAGAACGCGACGATTCTTCAGTACCTCCTTGCATTTTTCGTTATTTATGCCATGGATATGAATTTTCGTTCGTACATTACATGACGCAACGTGGTAGGTACCACCTAATCCTAATTATTTCACTTATCGTCAAGACTTATGTTATTTTCTATCTAAATGAAACGGTGAAACTGCTAGCGATAATGAGGCAATTGTCGCGGTTGTGAACTGACATTCCATGCGATTGGATGCAAGAGGCGGTGCAAATTAATGCGGCAACATAATTGGTAGTAAAAACGACGGCCAGGCCTAACGTGTAACGAGAGACAGGTAGATAGATCGCAGCAAACAGCGCTGACAATGGGAAAATATGATCGGCGGAACCACGAAACGCAAATGACATAGTTATTGTCGTCTAAAAAACTGTTCCAGTTTCCGTTTGA